AACTGAGCTCAAAAGTAGCGGAAATGTTAAATTTTTGACGATGTTCAAGAGTAAACAAATGACCCCACATGTCTAATACACGCCAGCTGGTGGGTCTAATATACATTCACAAATGTGGCAATATTATTTATACAATTATTACAATATTGCATAACAGTAAATCTTCTATTTTTTGGTTTGAATAAAAATTCATTATGTGAATAAAAAATCAAAATGGAATTCATTTGTAAAGCCTGAAAACATAACTAATGAACAGAGGAAATGTTAGTTTAGTGCCAGGAATGCCTTCACTGTTTATTCTGGACCCTATTTTGAAATCAGAATATTTTGAACTTTGCATTAAATTGGCCAAATTACCAACTTCCGATCATTTTATTTTGTAGTTGAAACAGTTGACTTGGCGATTTCTTGTGCTCAATCGATAGAATAGAAGTAATACTAGTGAAATAGCTAAGAATTTGGTCAACTGGAATAATGTAATTGGCCTAAAATGGGAGTCAAAGTTGGCAAAATCGCCAATGCGTAAATATCGCTGACACATCAAAATTCACAAGAGCATAATTTTGTCAATTTTCCATCACATTCTGTACTGTTTGTTTTATTACCTTCAGAAAAAGATTCTCTGCCATTTCTTAAAAAAAATAAAATTATTTTTTGAAAATTGGACCCTGGTGCACACTTTGAAATTTGGCCTCTGGACCCTGAAAGGGTTAAGGCTGTCCAAATGGTCTGCATAGCAAGGGGCTTTCTATATAGTTTATGCATGTCAATTACTAATCCTATGTCAACTGTAAACTGTACTTTATAGAAATAAAGTTTCTCACTGTCATGAATGTCATTTTAAAAACTATTTCAAACTTCTCAACCAACCTCTGTGACCTCTCTTCCAAATTTCCCAGAAGCAGTGCCATAAGCAAAGAAAAACAGTGAAAACTCGCACTTTATATCAGATTTATTATCATTTAAACCCACATCTTTCTCCAACCTTCTAGCATTCACTTCCTTTACTGCACCATCTACAAAGAGTGAAGGAAGGATAGGTTTTGAAATTTACAAAGCACTAGGACTGACTCTGTACAATAAAATGTCAATTTTTCTACATCAGTCTCCATGGTACATAGATGCCATGGGTACACATAAAAAGAACATTACAGTGTATGTATATTTTTTACCCAGGAAAGTCAATCAATGTGACTTTTTTTCTATGTTTTAAAGGATATCACACCCTGAATCAATTGCAATACAGTATCATAAGACTTTCCTGTGCATAGTGTTAGAAGACAAAAGCACTCAAAGTAAAAATAACAATATACTAAATTTTATTGTATATTCCATGTGGTGATAGACTATGCATCTCCGACCCCATGTTTACAGTACTAAAACACCTTGAAACACATATGAAGCCAGTGAATGTGGTGTTAATCACTGAAAACAAGAAAACAAAACAAAAAAAAACTATCTTAATTTAGAACAAGCAAAATTATTGTAATTCGGCATAAATGAATAGGAAAACACACACACTTTGTCTGTTTATGCCAATGTTGTCAACTGATCATTTTTCACCAACTTCAACACACCATAAAACCGTAAGTTTTTGTCTGATTTCAGTTTTGTTTTTGTAGCTCTATTTAGAAAAACATGATACAGTATTTAAAACTAAGATTTTTTTTTTCCAAAATTTTGCCTTAATACAGTAATAATATTTTCAGGGTATGCCACAGTTTAAGGCTTATTGCATGCAGGAAAAGCTATAGTGATAGACAAGGTGTCCTAGATTACATAGCTGGTCCTTTACCAACAAAGCATTAGAACTTCATGACATTGTCTAACACGTTTACTGTCATGCATACTTCTACGAACTCCACCATGTATGTACTTCTAAGTTAAAAATAAGCCTACATACCTTTACACTATCTAGTACTGCATACAGATCATTCACTGGTGGTACAACAAAGGAGAATCTTTGTCTGAAGCGCGGGCAACTGTAGGAAAATATTAATGAGTACTTTATGATTTTGGTGATAATTAATATGATCCTAATAAAATGTGGCCCAATTGGTTTCAAGAATTTTCTCCCCAATAATGGAATAAACACAATGCCATGAATAGAGGTTGGAATCAATTATGCATAGTACAGTGGACCCCCGGTTAACGATATTTTTTCATTCCAGAAGTATGTTCAGGTGCCAGTACTGACCGAATTTGTTCCCATAAGGAATATTGTGAAGTAGATTAGTCCATTTCAGACCCCCAAACATACACGTACAAACGCACTTACATAAATACACTTACATAATTGGTCGCATTGGGAGGTGATCATTAAGCGGGGGTCCACTGTATAATGAATTACATCACTTATTTAGAACACCTTCAAAAATAATAAAACATATAAATACCTTATATGCATGATGCCCTGAGAGCTGGTGGTGATGGTGGCAGCTTTATCACATGCTGCTAGAGTTTTTAATACCTTCCTGGGGTTAATATTAGGGCATAGGGGCACAACTGTCGCAAGGAAGGGAGGGTTGTTAGCAGTGCCCAAGCCACGCTTACGTAGAATAGCTGCCTCCTTTTTAAATGCACGAATTTGCTTTGATCTGTGCTTCCTCTGTTCACGACTGAGCTCCTTCTTAGCTTTCTTGCTTAATGTTTTAACGCTGATTCGTCCTGGAAAAAGTAAGTCATAGCACTACATGCTGGAAAAATATTTAGAAAAACAATCTTGCCTTTCTCAATCATGTAATCTAGGATTTCCATGCTTCTTTCATGCAGCACAGCCTCTCCTTACTACAGAGTTCTGTTCCTAAGACCACGTCAGTAAAAGAATTCATTGCTAAGCAAGGAGCATGCTATAATGGTAGTGGGTTTGTGTCAAAAATCTTTGATATTGTTTTAATGTCACCTTTCCACTATTTATAACATTTTTAGTACAGTAGGGCCCCACTTTATGGCATTTCGCCTTACGGCGTTCTGCTAATAAAGCAATTTCAAATTATGACCAAAACTTGCTATACGGCTCCCAGTCTTTCTAGTATGGCGTGCTCCACCTGGTTTGGTTATTCTCTGTGAGCACATCTCTCTATTATGTCTGGAAACTTTCCAAAATTTCAAGTGTTCTAAAGTTATTGCATATTTTATATGTACAGTGGAACCCCGGTTATCGGCCGATATGGATATTAGCTGAATCTGATTTCAGCCACTTTTCTGGCCAAAATTCTGTCCTGAATTTCGACCGGCAACTCAGAAATCGGCCATACTGGGCGTATCCGTTCACCATTCCCCCGCGTTCGTGAGTCAGTCTGGGTGAGTGAGCAACATTCCGAGCGTTCATCCAAACATTTCATCACAATCCATTGTTTTTTGCAGTTGTTTATTGAGTGCGACTGCAAAATAAGCCACCTTGGGCCCAAAGTTCCTAGTGCTACCCCTTTGGTAAAGAAAGTGAGAAACACAATAGAATTCAGTGACAAAACCTTGTCCCACTTCAGGCAAATCTTAAAGAGATGCCAGAACCAGACCTCTCTGGACTTTTTTTTTTTTTTTTTTTTTTTTTTGCAACAGGGGTACAGTGACTCTCAAGCTGGTCCTAGTGCCAGTAAAACACGAAGAAGGGAAGTAACCTCAGAGAGGAGCTTGATACCTTAAGTCCTTATGGAGGGGGATTCCCTTTCCAAACAATAAGTTCTCCTCTCTCTCCCCTCCTTGCCTTCTTCAATATGCCCACAAGAGTCTTCAATAAAGGTATGTAATGTTCAGTTATTATTAAAATTTGTACTTTATATTTATTTCTCATTGTTTTCTGTACGTAAAACTATAGTTAATCTTTAAAAAATGTATTTTTTGTTAATATTTTTGGGTGTCTGGAACCAATTACAGTGGACCCTCAACCAGCGATATTAATCCGTTCCTGAGAGCTCATCGTTAATCAAAATAATCGTTAGTCAAGTTAATTTTCCCCATAAGAAAACAATGGAAATCAAATTAATCCGTGCAAGACACCCCAAAGTACAGTGGACCCCCGGATAACGATCAGCTCCCAACTCGACCAATTATGTAAGTTTATTTTTGTAAGTGCTTTTGTAGGTGTATTTTTAGGGGTCTGAAAAGGACTAATCTAATTCACAATATTTCTTATGGGAACAAATTCGTCTATAACGCACCCAAACAGACTTCTGGATTGAAATAATATCGTTATGCAGGGTCCACTGTATTCAAAAAAAAAATTTTTACCACATGAATATTAATTTTAATACACACAAACTGAAGAAGACATGCACAGTTACATGACACTTACCTTTATTGAAGATCTGGTGATGATTGAGGGATGGAGGAGGGGAGACCGTTGATCTTGTTAGTGTTTTAGAAGGGAATCCCCTTTCATTAGCACTTGAGGCAGCAAGTCTTTTTTCTGGGGTTACTTCCCTTGTTCTTTTAATGCCACTAGGACCAGCTTCAGAGTCACTGGACTTCTGTTGCACAACATATCTGTCCATAGAGGCCTGTACCTCTCGTTCCTTATCCTAAAGTGTTTCACAACATTGTCAGTGAAATCACCAGCACGGCTTCAATAGCTTGTAGGGTGATTTTCACAAAAAAGGTTTGCACTTTAACCCTTTGGGGGTTTCGGACGTAATACTTTTTTACGACCCGGGTTTTTTTTGACTACTATACCCTAAATTCAGCACCCTAAAATCAAAGTGGAGAAAGCTGGGGGGGCCTTCATAGAAAGGGCCCTTGGTCAGTGTGCCCAGTCTAAAAAAAATCCTGCACACACAGTGCATAATGAGAAAAAAAAAAATTTGACCGTTTTTTGGAAAAAAACAGCGATTTGCACTCTTTTTTCGTATGGTATTTATTGTTGTATTTAGTTTTCCTTGGTCTCATTTTATAAAGGAAACAATTACGAAATTGAATGATTTTGACTGTTTTACAATAAAATACCTTGAAATTGAGCTCAAAGTACAAAATGTTCGATTTTTCCCAAAATTTAAAAAGTAAACAAATCACCCCAACTTCCAATACACATCAACGGGGTCAATATTCTTTCACAAGTGCGCCAATAATATTTATATCTTTTTTTTACCTAATGCAGTAGCTGCATAACATAAATTTTAATTTTTGTGAAATAAAAATTCAAAGGGGAAAGCAAAAAATATAAAAGCCTTGAACGTGACAATACCAGAGGAAATGCATTTAAGTGCCAGGAAGTCTTTCTTGTTTATTCTGGAAATTTGGTATCTTTTAAAATTTTGTATAAATTTGCAAAATTGCTAAATTCTGACCACTGACGGATAGTTAATTTTCAAAAATGGGGGTTTTCTTGCACCCTTCATAGAAAAAATGGATTTCACGAAATATTCATTTTTTCTGTCGACTTTTACGGTGGAATTGGGGGAAAAAAGGGGCCAAAGTGGCAAAAGCACCGATGCTAAACACGCCGAGACCGCAACTTTGCAGAGCATAATTCCAAGTTTCCATCAAATTTCAAACTTTTGGTGCCCCTTATGATGGGAAAAAAATTTCTCTATCTTTTAAAAAGAAAAAATTTTTTTTTTTTTTTAAATTTTGGCCCGACCCAGAACGATTTGGGAGAGGGCCTGTCGACCCTCAAAGGTTTTAACCACTTTTACACACATTTCCTTAATCTTTGAAGGGGCAACTTCTTAAATTTTTCTCTCTCCCCTTCCCCAAAGCATTTTTCCCGGGTGTGGCCTTTTACTGTTGAAGAGACTGCAGCTCATCATGGTTGTTCTTCATTGTCCTCCTCCACCAACTCTTCCACAACCTCCCCACAAAAACCTCACCAATAGACACTATTCCGGGGCATTTTTTCCGTTCACCTGGTTTAGTAAACTGTTGTGGGTCGCATCCTGGGGACAAGATTAAGGACCACAATGGAAAAAAGTTACACATCCCGTGATGCACTGACTTTCGGGTTATCCTGGGGGGCTAACCCCCGGGGTTTAAACTTTCTCGTAATTTTTTTCACGTTTAAACCACACCAAAAAACACCCCCTCCACACTTCGGTAAAAAGCGATGGGGTGCGCAACAACAACACGACCGTGGTGCAGCAGCAGCTGCACCCTTTTGGGAAAACAACTTCCTTGATTGCCGTTTTTTTACCCACAATATAGCGATGGTTTATTGGGGGTTTTTTATACAACCTGACCCCCTCAAGACAAAAGCACTCCACTTTCATACTTTCAATGATCTCTTTCTTCATCTCCATAGTAATTCCACCCTTTTTTGGGTGTAGGGTTTTTGGGCCCAGAAGCTTTCTTGGGGGCCCCTGGGACTTATTTTTTCAGGTGCAATCACACAAAGGCGGAAAATGAAATGTTCCATTGTTGTATGTTTTTGGGAAACGACCGCGGGGGCTGGCTGGCTTGTAAAAACTACACCCAAGGGGCAATGAGGGGCCCCTCAGGGGAAAGTGGGCGCGATGGGACGGAAAAGAATAGCGTGTCGGTTTTTTTAAACCTAGTTGAGGGAAAATTTTTTTTCGTTTAAATTATCGCAATTTTGATTTATCGTTAATTGATGCCACTTTCAAAAATACACTTCGGTTTTTTCGGGCCTTTTTGGTTTTTGGTCAACCTTCTGGAACGGGTTATGGCCGAAATCCGGGGTTCCACGTAACTGATAATAAGTGACCTGTACCAAAAATACTATACACTGCACTGGGATGCAGGTCACTAAAATCACTAAGACCTCTACCTTGACCCTGGATATTTAAATTAAGCTAGCTAAAAGTAGTGCCTAGATTACCGATTCCCAGATTAGTGATGGCTGACCTGTTTTAGAATCTGACATCTTTGCAATGGTGGGTGCATCGATGTTTCCTGGACTAGCTTGCTACTCATACATATTCTAATATGATATAACAATACAATAGAAATTTCATTTTTATAATAAATACAGTGGACCCCCGGTTTACGATATTTTTTCACTACAGAAGTATGGTTCAGGGTGCCAAGTACTGACCGAAATTTGTTCCCACCATATGAATATTGTGAAGTAGATTTGCCCATTTCAAGACCCCCAATACTACACCATACAATCGCATTAATATTACATTACATAATTGGTACATTCGGAGGTAATCGTTATGTGGGGGTCCACTGTACAGTAAAAAAAAAAAAAATGGAAAAAAGTTCAGTGTAAGACAATTGTGGTTTTATTGCAACATTTTTTCTACAGATATGCCAGTTAGGCTAAATCTGTCAAAACTTCAGAATAGACACAAAAAGACAATTGTACTGACTGTTAACTTTCTTTTTTTGCTTTTTTACTAAGTTTCTTTTGTTAAAATTCTTATAAGAATAAATAAATTTTAAAAATTTTAAAAAGATAAAAATCTGCCACTAGTAAGTCTGTCACTGCTAGACTGTGTACAGTTAAACACGTTCTGGGTTCCAAGGCAAAATCTGAAAGTGGTGCTCAAGTGTCCAAGAAATTTTTGAACAAAAAAAAAAAATTATTTTTTCTAACTAGAATTCAAAGAGCATATTTTGTTGAAGGTAATAGACAAAAAAAAAAATCTGATCGTGCTTACCGAGATACAGTGCAAGAAGTTTGTCAAAAATGATGTGGTGGCAGGGCAACATCGACGAATTCCACATACGCGCATTACATTATTTTGCGGTTTTGTTGTTTTTTCTTTTCTTTTCCAATTTTTTCTATTCTACTAACATTTGGGGCCTGGAGAGAACTATACTGTATTTAATGTATTTATTTAACT